TTTAATCTAATGTATAGATAAACAACAATATATTTAATTATTTGGTTAGTTAAACTGCAATTTGTTAAAAAATAATTACTATTTTTTTTAATTTTTATATTATTAAATAAAAGTATTAAACTAAACATTTAAGTAATATATAATATATATTAAAATTTTACTTTCATAACTATGTTTGTTTGATTTTTTTTATACAAATTAATTAAATTATTTATTTATTTTATTACAATGTATTAGATTTATTTTTTCTACTTTTACTAACTATAATTGTTAGTATATATATATATTTTTTGATACATTAGTTTWCAGTATTATAGTTACAATTATCATTAAAGTTATTTTATTATTTAATTTAATTAAATATTTTCAAAAAAAATATTAATGTATAGATTTAACTAATATTTTTAAGTAATTTAATTAAGTTATAATAAAAATATTTTCAAAAATTATAAGAGACACGTTTACAAACTAGATTTTATTATAATACTTTAATAACAATATAGTGAAAATTAATTTATGTTTTTATTACAGTATTTTTAAATAATATTTTATTTTATAATAAAAATAGATTTGATTATTTTTAAATAATATAAAAAACTATTTATTATATTGTTATATATATATAACTATTATACTTTACTAATAAAAATAAAAAACACTATAGAAATATACAGCAACTAAAAAATTATTTAAAAAAAATAATATTATAATTAATTTTTATAATTAAATATTAATAGATCATATGCAACATTAAATTCAAAGACAAAAAAGTTAATAAACWATTAATTTGTAATAAACAATAAAAAAATACAATTAGTACCAGTGTCATTTATATACGGTTTAATAATTTTATTTTACACACTTAGTTTTTACAAAACAAAAAACAAAATATCTAATTAATTATTTAGTTAATATTATTTCATACAATAATTAAACTAGACATAGTTATTAATATTGTAACTGGTACAATTTTTTATATTAAATAAAATTTATATTTTATTGTATCTGTAGATCAATTAAATATAAATTAATTATTAAAGATATTATTATTGTATGAATATAATGTTTTATTTGATAACACATTTTTAGTTAAAATATAAAGAAATAAGATATAAGTAGTAATAATGACATACTAGACATTACGTAATATTACATAGTTTAATTGAACATGTATATAATAAACAAAACACAATTAATTAAAAAAATTTATTATTGTAAATTATTAAAAATTACATGTTATTAAGATTTAAAGAAAAAATAAAATATTTGTATACATAAATTTAAATAAAATAAAAATATTATAAAGAATTATATAAATGTTTAATAATTTTATCATTATAATTTTTATCGCAACTAAATAAATTTATAAATTGATTAAATGATTTATTATATTTTAACTTATAGATTATATAGCTAACACAATATTCACCACAAGTTATGCATGTGGTGCATTGTAATGTAATATTATTATAATTTATACCATTAGGACAATATTTATTTAAAAAATTGATATATTCTAAATAGTAAGGCGGGGATCCATATGAATCAAAATATTCTCCATAACCATTATCATTAAGAAACATAGCTATCCAGTGAGTTCCAGGTTCAGATGATTTATCAGTATTTACAATTATACCACATGGGAAAGTATTTGAGACTGGTAGTGTATCTCTAGCAAACACACCACCAAAATTAGATAATTTATTTAATTTTTCGATAATTTCTGTAGTAAACATTATTAACGATAATCCATTGCTATAGACTTGTCTTTATACATACTTATTAAATTCTCAAACTCGTAATAAAATAATGCATTAACAATTGTTGGTAGAGGTTTTTCAAAATGTATTTCAAATCTCATAATACCATATTGTGGAACGTTTACGTAACCTGTATCTTGATAACCATGAGTATGATCTTGATTTGTATTAAATCCAAATATAGTAAAACCATTTTTATAATCTTCACTAGTTATATCCATTTTACCTTTTTCATCATATTGTTGAGTTACTTTAAATAATTCCAGGTATTCACGACAATATTTGTTTTTGCCAAAATCTGGCGTAAATGGTTTTCTTGCAATTTGATTTCCATTTATAAAACATGAAATAGAATTTATATCAAAATGATAAAAATTAAATGGATTTTTAGTATATGATCCACTGTAAGCTTCATTAGTTACAAATGCTACGTATACCCTATGCGGCAATTGTCCATTAATAACATTTTCTATATTTCTACTACGCGCGCCAGCATCTATGGTAACTGTACGTACTTCTCTTCTATTCAGTATATACTTTGCTGCAACATCTTTATGTATATTAAAACTTTTAGTATGTGCTGCAACAATATCTTCAGATACTCGACATTTAATAATATTAAAGTGAATATCTTCAAAATGAATTCTAGGTATTAATGTACTATCATTAGTCATAAAATAAAATTCAGGTCTATTGGGAATCATTCTTATATTTAATTTTGTACCACCAACAAGTAATTTTGTCTGTAGAAACATACTGATAAATAATTTGCCTTCTAATTCAACATACTTTCCTGTATGAGGAGGTTCACTTGTTTCATTTTTAATTAATTCAATTCTTTGTTTTACAGGAATATTTACATTTTCTCCTTTCATATTTTCTTTGGTAAATAATTCATAATATAATATGTTTGCCTTGATCTTTCTGAAGTATATAAAACTTTACCTATATAAGATTTATAAGCATATGTCTGTAAAGATGATGATGTTTGTGAATCATTTATAGACACATCTATTTGGCTCCATAAAGAATTGAAAAAGTTATTAACTAATGATACATTATTCCAATCATTCTCAACTATTTCAGTATTATTCGTTTTTGCTAATTTAACTCGAAAACTAAAATATAATGTTGAATCGAATAAAGAAATATACTCATCAATATTACTTTTAATTTCAAATTCAATATGTCCACCATTATTAAGTTGAGATAAAGGTCGAACTTCTTCACAAAATCGTTCTTTTATTGAAGTTTGAACCAATGAATTACTAAAAATATCTAGTTCAGGTACAATAGCCAAAGATGATTTTTCATTTACTAAGCTCATGTTTATCCAAATATCGATTTAATGTTTTTGCGGTTAAACAGTGCTTTACTTGACTTTTTATACTTTTTTCCACCAGTTTGTCCACGCCTTTTTCTACCTTTACCTGTTTGTCGTTTACGTCTTCTGCCTTTCCCTTTTTGTCCACGACGTCTTTTACCTTTACCTGTTTGTGCAAATTTCATAGCTCTTTTACCAGAATCGTTTATAACTGTTTTACCTAACTCTTTACCTCGAGTTTTAAGTGAATCGATTATATTCTTACCTTCTAATGCATCATTAGCTATGTCAGCTCCAGCATTAAATAGTTTTGGACTTATATATTTTATCATAGGTAAAATTCCTCTATTATATATAGTGCCCCAAACTTCTGCAAAACCATCACCTCTTTGAAATTTATAACCTTCAAAACCTGGTATACCAGAGCCAGCCTGATTTGCATAATAATTTAAATATGGATTAGTCATTTTATATTATTAATTTTTTTTCTAAAATGTAAAGTTACAGATGTACGTCCAAATGCAAAATTTATACTTTTATTTGTATCGTCTTTAATATCGATCTCAATAGAATTAAATTCATAAGAAACTAAAGAATAATAATGTGGATTTGAATAATTAATTTCACAATTATCTCCAAATATTTTATTATTAGGTATTTCAACTCTTCTTAAAAGTTGTTTTTCTTGATTTCCTACAAAAACTGGTTTAATCAAATCACAATATAAGTATAAAGAATTGATTGTACTATTTAATGTGACTTCATAAAAACTTTCTAAATAAATTTTTAAGTCTATTGGAATATTTCTTTTTTCTAAATTATGACCTCTTTCTTCTAATAACGGTACAGGTTTTCTATTTACTGGAAGAGGAAGTAAGTGCTTATATGTTTTCGATTTAGTGACTTTATTTTTATCAACTTTAAGTTTTTTATTTGAATTATTTAATGTATTATCAGATTTATTTTTTTGAGTTTCAGAAATACTATCAGATTTAATGTTGTTTTGATCAACTTTTTTATTATTATCATTTACAATATTTTGATTTTCTGTATCTATCTTTGTGATATTTTGGTCAACAATTTTATTATTATCACTTACATTGCTTTGATTTTCTGTATCTATCTTTGTGATATTTTGGTCAACAATTTTATTATTATCACTTACATTGCTTTGATTTTCTGTATCTACCTTTGTGATATTTTGGTCAACTGTTTTATTATTATAATTTACATTGCTTTGATTTTCTGTATCTACATTTGTGATATTTTGGTCAACTGTTTTAGTATTATTATTTACATTGCTTTGATTTTCTGTATCTAGATTTGTGACGTTTTGTTCAATTGTTTTATTATTATCATTTACATTGCTTTGATTTTCTGTATCTACATTTGTGATATTTTGGTCAACTGTTTTAGTATTATTATTTACATTGCTTTGATTTTCTGTATCTAGATTTGTGACGTTTTGTTCAATTGTTTTATTATTATCATTAACATTGTTTTTATTTTCTGTATCTAGTTTTGCTATGTTTTGGTCAACTATTTTATTATTATTTTCATTTTCATTGGTTTTAATTTTTGCATCAGGTTTCAAATCGCTATTTAAAACTAAATTTTCGTAATTTTGTTGTACAATATTTTGATTGTTTTGGTTTTGGTTACCTGTAATATTTTCAGAAATTTGATTTCTTGTTGAAAGTTTTTTGGCAAGTTGTACAATAGTATCAATGACTGGAATTTTAAAATGAGAATCATTGTCGGTTATTAATTGAGATTTAGTATTATCAATATCATTTTTTGGAATTTTATAAATATAATTTATATTTTCAGTATTTGGATACTGGTTATTTTGAGAATCACATAAACCTAAAAATTTTGCTAAAAACAATGAAAATTGTGGAAATAAAAAATTTTCACTTGTACGACCTAATCTAACTTTTATTTTATTTGCTTGTTTATTGTAAATTAATTTTGGAGCTAATATAATATTTAAATTTTTATTATTTTCTATAAAATCTGAATATAACTTATCTATGCTATCTAGAATATCTTCAACTGTTACATAGTTACCCGCTGGTAAATCTGTATTCAATTCAATTATATTTTTATCAGTATCAACAAAAAATAATTTTTGGTCTTCCATTATATTATACCAACTTTTAGTATAAGAAATATCTGTTAATGCAACTTCCCATTCATTAGATAATTTAATGTTTTGATGCAGTCTTGTAATATAATTGCCTATAGTATTTGATATTTCAGTTGGACTAGTAGGGTTAATATTACTACTTAAATGAATATAAAAATTTTCTTTTTCCATAATTTTATTTGCTTTATAAAAAAAGTTATATTTATAATTATTTATAAAAATCAATAAACATAAAGTATTAATGAATATAAATATGAATATTACATGTATTATATAGTTATTTATTTGTATCATTATTTTGTAATGGTTTTAATTTTGGATTAGGTAAAATATAACCAATAGAACTTGACAGCAAGGCAGTCCATAGATTAGTGTCTCCAGTATTTTTTGTAAGATTATATATACTTACTGATACAACGATAAGAATAATAAGCATTTGAAAAACAAATAATATTAAACTTGAAGTTGTTATAGCACAATCATTATTAATAACATTATTTAAAGATTTTTTATGTGTTCCAATGGTATCCATTGATTGAATTTCGACGGGTAACCGATCCATTTAACTAAGGCTTGTTTTTGTTTGTTTACAACCCTATATTTTATTACTTTTTCAATACGATATAGTGTATTATTGTCAACAGTTACTTTTTGTAATTCTTGAGGATAAAATTTTCTTTTTAATGTTTCGTCTTCTATACCAATACTGTATTGTGAAATTTTTGGTTTGTGTATAACTTTATTAATTTTATATATCATATCTGTCCATAGAGGATAATATGATTTATCAAATGCTTTTAAATCATATTTTCTACGAACAGTATCGCCGATATTAAATTTTGGTTTTTGTTGATTTTTAAAATACAAATCTTTTATATTATTTGTTTTATATAAATTATTAAATATTATTTTTTCTAAATTTTTTGTAACGTTTATTGGAGCAAATCCTGTACTTTTGTGTACTGACCTATTATAAGCATTTATAATATTAGATAATTGATCGACATATTTAAAAGTGCCATTTGTATAACAATATTTTAATAATTTTCCTTTTATAGTACGATTTAGTCTTTCAACAATTGCACATTTAATATCATTGTTTTGAGTTGTGAAAAAAATAATATCATTTGATTTACATAAATCTTTAAAGAATTTGTTATCAAATTCGCCTCCTTTATCTGTTCGTAATTTTGTTGGTTTTCTTCTTTTAAAAATATTTTTAAATTCATCTAGTAAAGTTTTTGCATTTTTATTTTTTAAACTTATAGCAAAAGCATATTTTGAAAAACAATCAATTATCATTAAAATATATTTAAAATTATTATTATTATTTGATATATTTTTTAAATCTATTAAATCACATTCCCATTGTTCATCAATATATGAAACTATAATTTTATTTCTTTGAAACTTTTTAATAATAGGTTTATGTAAAGTATAGCTTTTTTGTGTTGCTAGCCAATCTTTTACATTTTTAATAGTTATATTATTGTTTATTTTATTAGCATAATAATATAATTTATGAATTCCTGAATACGATGCTGGATGTGATGTATTGTAATATAAGTCTGATAATAAATCATTAATCATCTTCACTATCAAATGGTATATCCCACATTGGTTTCTTAATTTCTAACTTGTCTTTTATATCACTTTTACGTTTCTTTTTATTCATTTTTTTAATTATTTCTGTATGGATATCATTTATATTTATATTTTCAGTATTTTCTGTTATATTTTCATTGTTGTCTTTATTATCATTCTGTGAAATATTATTTATATTATTATTAGTATTAGTATCTGTTAAATAATCGTTGTTTAAGTCTTCGATTTGAGTAAAAGTATCTATAGTATCAACACTTGATTTATTTATATCATTTTTGTATACATTATTTTTAAAATTATACAAATCTAATAATTTTGATTTAACTATTTCATTTATTATATGATCAGGGTTTATTTTTGCTTCAAATAATAAATTAATTAAGTCAGAAAGCCCATTCACTCCTTTAACTTTATTTTGTGTTATGTTTAATAATTTAGCTATATTTGTATTTTTATCATATAAACCATTTGGTTTTTTAATATTGAGATTATCATCAAAGCCATTTATTTTTGCTAATTTTAAAACAATTTTTAAAATACGAATTTGTTTTTCTAATGAATTACCTTTGTTTTTTTTCGTTGTTGTAACTGTATTAATATCAGAAGCGCTGTTTTCTACGTTTAAATCATTATTTTCTAAATCATAAGGATAAATTACCATAGGTTCAGACATTTTTTGTTAAAATTTTTCTACTATTTTACTAGCTATAGATGCTATTATTGGGATTAATAATGGGATAAACCAACCGTTTCCAGCTTGTTCAACTAATTTTTTCTTTTTTTGAACACTGTCGATTTTTCTTGCAACAAAACTTTTTAAATAATGGTCTAAATTTTTTAACGTATTTATTTTGTGCTTTGCTCAACTCAACGTTTGAACTTAAAATGTTATGAGAAATTTCGTGTAAAGCATTATATACAACTTTTTCTTTACTAAGTTCTTTCATTAATTTTTTTCTTAAAGAAGGTTGAACATTTGCAGCCAATCGTAAAAGGGGGAGTGAACTTTTTAAACTATTTGATATTATTTTCATTTTTATAATAATGGTAAATAAATTGGGCAAAAGCTATGTTTTTGGGCTAAACTAGAAGGCAATTCTTCTTTAAAAATTCGTGTTCTTATACGATATAAATCGTTTGATCTTGGGTGTAAGTCTATTACTAAATAACCATATTTATTATTTGTAAAAAAATTTATAATATTATTTTTATTTTTAATATATACTTGATTAAGTAAATAATTTAATTG